CAGGAATGACTGAAATCTGCATATAGGCTGTGCAAAGTTATAGAAAGAGCAGGAAGGAACCTTCTGAGGCATCTGGCCCAACTCACATTCCCACACTCAGAGCTCCTCCTCCCTGGGAAAGATTTCCCTCCTTTCCCCAAAGACCTGCCTGCAACCAGGGCTGCAGGCATGCACCAGGCAGAAGGACCTTTGCTCTGATCCCTGTGGCCAATCCCTGTCCTTGTGGGGATTTTCCTCACATTTTGCTGGTATTTCTCCATGGGTGGAGATGACCCCTTGCTCTAGATCTACATATGCTGATCAAAGTGCTGAACAGATGCACAAAAGGGGAGATGCTCAAACCCACTCTCTTCGTTCCCTGAGACCCTGCTGCTCTCCCAGCTGAGCCCACTGTCCTGCAAGCAATGCCTAGGATCGCTCAGCCAGTCTCTCTGGGGAAGCTCCAAGGCACCTGCTCAGCCTGTAACCAGGTGTTACAAGCTTCAACACCGCAGAGCCAGGCTCACCTCATTGGTGATGGTTTCATTGTTGATGAAGTCAGCAAAGGCGACAGTGGGCATCCACGGGTCATTCTGGTTGTAGATACTGGTGCTGGTGGGTTCGTCTTCCTTTCGCCTGGTGACAGCCAGCTTGTACCTGAGGAACAGAAGAGATGGGAACCTCTCGCAGCAGCTGCAGGCAAGGACAGGGAGATGCCAGTCCCAAACAGACAGTGCTAGGATCTGCAAGGCTTCTCACAAGCGTTTACTAGCCATGGTGGGTCAGAGCAAGGCAGCTCCAACACAAGGTAGGGACGCAACCTGTGGAGTCTAAGGGTGACCAAAGTAACCCTTGATGATAGGAAAGGGGACAAAGGACTGGGAGGTTTGTCCTGGAGACCAGGGGTCAGAGCATGCCTTTGGCACCCACTACAGATGAAGTGGAAACCCATTCTAAGGAAGGGATGGAAAAAGCATCGCCAGGGTGCCAAAAGCCCAGGAAACACATAGGTAACAGCCCCTGGAGCAGGGCACAGCTAAACGCTGCTTCCCAGAGAATCTGCAGAGCTCAAGGCTGGTCCTACAGAGTAACCCCAGCACAACAGAGTGTCTGCCAGGTCCACGCAATCTGGAGAACCTGGTGTCACTGTCAGGAGAGCCGCCTGACCTTGCCCAGCTGATGGCCCTCTCCATGGAGCTGGCTTCAGGCACATGTTCCCCCGCAAAACTGACGATCTGGATCCTGTAACCACGCTGGTGACCCCACTTGTTTTTGCTGTTGGCTGCAAAGTAGATATATCTGGGCATCTTCGACTGGTGCCGGAATGCAGCCTGGTCCTCTGTGTCAAGGACTTTCTTGGTGAGCCGCGGCCGCTCTATCTGCTGCTCTGGGCTCCAGGGAGCCCGTGCCATCTCAAACGCCATGTCATGGGCCATCAGGGAGTTTTTCACCCCTACAAAGCAAAAGCAAAACCACTGAGGAGTGTCCCTGCAGTCCCCTGCTCCCCACAGACATAACTGCAGTTAGAGCTTGTCCTCCCCATTCTCCCTTCCACGCCCTAGGTTCCGAGTGCTGTTTTCTGCACATAGGAGCAGTTACTGCTCTGCAGCTCCATGGCAGCATGACTGTACGTTTATCTAACCAACACCGCCACTCCGGGGCATACACTACTGCCCAGGCAGACTCTCATCCTTTGTGAGGAATCAGAAGATGGAAGCCACATCCCAGTGCAGAAGAACAAGTTTGCTTCCCAACGCAAGCCCAGCCTAATTAACCCAAGCACCTCATGGCCCAGCCACGGCTATTCTGCTCATTAGCAAGCATCCTGCAAGCAGGGGAGCACTGGGAAGAACACAGGCTCTGAGCACATTTGCACATCACAGAACTTCAACAGTTCTGTGCAGTTTAGGTCTTTCCACAAAGAAGGCTTGTCAGCCAGAGGCTCAGACCAACAGGAGAGGCATAAGAGCAAATAAATCTGGGGATAAGACGGTCAGGAGCTGGCTGAGAGCACTCCAGGGCCAGGGCTGGCATGGCACTGCCCACGGAGAGCTGGCAGAGTGGCCCATGCTTGGCCCCCCAGCCACCAGGTCAGGCAGGCCAGCTGCCAACCGCTGCTGAACTCCACAGTCTCAAGCCCTACTCGCCTCTGTTCCACACGATTTCCTAGTTTTTGCAAAAGCCACCTCAGAGATGAACTTCTGGCCATCCTGGAAGATTTGACCAGACCCTTGGGAATTGCTTTGTGCTACAGAGATAGCAGAATTGGAGTCCTGAGACAGGACTCGCCTGAACATGCTGCAATGGAGGTCAGCGCCAGAAGCCAGAGACCTATGGAAAAATATCCACACCCAGCAATCACCACAGTTCTTGCTTTCTTCCCTTTTATGAAGCGAGCAAAACCTCTAACCCCACACCTCCTTTCTCAGTGATAGTCTGGTAATTTGCCTGCCTTTGCTCTATTTTTGCAGTTTTGCAATCCTCTGTCCTGATCCAAGTACTCAAAACTCATCCCAAAACCAGACAGAACAGTCTTTAAAATTTGTGTTTCCCAATGGTAAGAGAATTGGGAAATTTTTAAGTATATGACAAGAGCATGCAGCAAGTGCTATTTC